GGTATCTTCCTAGGTTAGTCTCTGTTTGCAGCCTACTTGCTTGAAGATAGAAAAGTATCACCTCTTTTATAGAGTGATGAGCTAATAGATCCTGATAGAGTCGTTAAAAAATAAAAAGGACTGTGAATGTCAACAATGCTAAAAAGCACAGAGCTAAGTATTTAGAGTTATGAGTTCTGGCTCTAGTTCTGCCATGAAATGACACAAATAAGTCACTTAAGCTCTCTGGTTAGATTAATTCAGTTTTTTTGTTTGTTTGTTTGTTTGTTTGTTTGCAGTTTTTGGCCGGGGCTGGGTTTGAACCCACCACCTCCAGCATATGGGTCCGGTGCCCTACCCCTTTGAGCCACAGGTGCTGCCCTATTCGGTATTTTTCAAAGTGTATTTCATGGAGCATTAACAAATTCTGTACATGTTATTAGGTGTTACTCAGAAAGAGGCTCCATAGAAGGGCCACAACTAGGCCATCTTTATGAGAATTGGAAAAGGCCCCTCCAGGAGAACGCAGGCGGCAAACTCACAGCTAGGCTGAAGGATGGAGAAAGGTAGAGAAAGATGCCCTGTCCTCGAGTTGCTGAGTGGGGCTCAAACTCTCGCCCCCCACACTGTATGTAGCATTGAATAGCTGCCCTGCCTAAAGTCAATAGGTTTGGGAAGTGGCTGAGTTAAGCAGGTTTCCTTTAGTATAAAATGTCTCAGAGTTTTATTACAATATGCTAACATAGGCTGGGTGACTCACTCCTGTAATCCTAGCACTCTGGGAGGCCGAGGCTGCTGGATTGCCTGAGCTCACAGATTCAAGTTCAGCCTGAGCCAGAGTGAGACCCCATCTCTAAAAATAGCCAGGTGTTGTGGTGGGCACCTGTAGTCCCAGTTACTTGGGAGGCTGAGGCAAGAGAATCGCTTGAGCCCAAGAGTTTGAGGTTGCTGTGAGCTGTGACACCACAGCACCCTACTGAGGGCGACAAACTGAGACTGTCTCAAAAAAAAAAATGCTAGCATGCTCTCCTTTGAATCACCAAGAAAAGAAAGTGATGTGTGCCATATTTTTTGTTGGACCTCAGAATGACTTTTTGTAGGACTAGTATTCTCAGGAATGCAGGCTGAGAAAAACTAAATGAGGTTGTCTTTACCACTCCTTGTTATTCTAAACTCATGTTCTCATGTTTTGTTCTGATGCATTTTCCTCCTTTAATATAAATAAAGTCTTCACGACCACCACCTCACCACTACCTTGTCTCCAAGCTGAGGTCTGTGCTTAAACATTTGCTTTGCCCCATTATTCTCTCATGATACTGCAAAGCTGAGCAACATTTAAGAACTTTGTTTTTAAGAGGTAGCTGCCCTCCAGCATAACAGAAGATGTTATGTTAGACTCGATACTAATGACATACTAATGACATAATGACACTTAATGTTCAAATCAAATGACATACACTGTATATTTACATATAAGTAGAAAGTTTGGTATAAATAGCAGATTGGGTCATTATTAGTTTGTAGCTAATTGTAATGTGATTGTGCTGTTTTCTCCAACTCCTCCTGAAGGGGAGGTGGGGGAAGAGCCCCATTTTCCTTCTCATATTTTTTTAATCACTTAGCTTGCAGTCTGCAAAGGGAGAATCAGTTCACAAATCACAGCCCGTCCATAGTTACAGAATTGAGAGGAGTCTGAGGGAGAGTTTGTTGTTTTGTTTTGTTTGTTTGTTTGTTTGTTTTTGCAGTTTCTGGCCAGGGCTGGGTTTGAACCCACCACCTTCTGCATATGGGTCTGGTGCCCTACCCTTTTGAGCCACAGGCGCTGCCCTGGGGGAGAGTTTTATTTTTTTATTTTTATTTGTCACCCTGGGTAGAGTGCTCTGGCATCATAGTTCACAGCAACCTCAAATTCCTGGGCACAAGCCATATGCCTGCCTCAGCCTCCCAAGAAGCTGGGACTACAGGCTCCTACCACACACCTGGCTAGTTTTTTTCTATTTTCATTAGAGATAGGGCCTCACTATTGCTCAGCTGGTCTCAAACTCCTGAGCTCAAGCAATCTCTACCTGCCTCAGCCTCCCAGACTGCTAGCATTACAGGTGTGAGCCATTCCAGCCAAAGTTGAGTTCTTAAATAAATTCATTTATATGAATAGTATGAGTTTCATTAATAAATATTAAGCATTTTTTGGTCTAATACCAATAGGTCAGAAGGCTTGAAATATGAACGATTGGCCATGTAAAAACTCATTCTAATGTGAATGCAGTGGATTAAGGAAAAGAGAACCAGCTGATACCCTTCATTTTTAAAAATAAAAGAATTTGTGGCCCATCTATCTGCCACTGACTGTGAGCTGAGTTTTTATTTACATCAGAAACAGCATTCAGGCTTTTTACATTTTCCGTAACGTCTTTGGCAGGAGGCAAGACAGTAGCTGCCATCTCTTCACTGGAACACACTCAGTGTTCACATAGAATTCATTTTATCAACAAGAAAGAAACTCACATAAACTTTATCACTTAAGAATATTATTGGCTCAGCGCCTGTGGCTCAAGCGGCTAAGGCGCCAGCCACATACACCTAAGGTGGCGGGTTCGAATCCCCAGCCCGGGCCTGCCAAACAACAGTGATGGCTGCAACCAAAAAATGGCCAGGCGTTGTGG